CTCTAATATGGAAGAAGATTTGGTAATAAGAAAAGAATTAAGGATCTTCCCCGCTGCCCATGGCTCCCACCTCAGAAGGATGCCCTTCCTGAGGAGGAAACCTGCTGGAATATTCCCCTCAGCATCAAGGTTAAGAGGAGCTTTGTATCAAAGAATCCTAAAACGTATAGAAAGAGATGCAAGCACACAGAACAACAAAAAGCAAACCCAGTCTCTAGGATAAATTGCACAAAACCATAACAGGTCCTGAGGAATTCAGTAGAGGAAGAGACTTTGAGTCTATGCATCCTTATGGGGTCCCATTTGTGTGTCTGTGCAGAGCTTTGTGGAAGATACAGAGGAAAGCCATCTCAAGATGCCCAGGAGGAGGCAGAGATGGGGGAACTCCCAGGCAGGAAAATGGAAAAGAGGGTCAAAAAAATTCTGTGACCACATCTGTTGCCAGGGACTTTATGTGTCATGTGCATTGGCTTCTCACCTCAGTAGTGCGTTAGCTCCTTTCAAGAGGACTGAGACTCAAGGAGACCAAACTCATCTTTTAAGGACATAAAATAGCTAAGAAGTGTGTCATGGGGCAGCTGGACATTGCTAGCTTCCCTGAGATTCTTAGGGTTAATGCAACTTCTGCAGTTTGCTGTTCCCATGCTGCAAGGGCAGGTGTAAGTGATTCTGGTTTTTGGCTCCCTATGTCTGTATCTCATGTGTGCCCACCCATATCAACAGTCTTTTTTTTTAAACACAGGAGAGGTAAAGACACTGGGTCCTGGGTGCGATGCCTTGTATCATTAGCCTGGTTATTCATTCACCTTTCAATTCTTGTGGCCACCAGCTCATGGCTTCCATTCTACAGAAAGGCTAGAGCAGCTGCATGGGGAGCTAGGGGTAGGGGGTGGGCTCTGCCATACAGGTTCCCCAAAGGGACTCCAGCCTTGGATAAGAAGTGAACCGGGAAGCGTAAGTTCTAGAATTAGAAGGAAACCCATTTTGTGCCTTCCAGGTTTGGGCCTTTCTGTCTTTGAGGTCTCTCCCTTCCCTTCCTCTCAGCTGTTTATGAATGATAATAAAGAAGCTAACTGTGAGTTGCAACTAGTTATTACTGATATAACTATTAACCCATGGCAACAATGAATATGCCTATCTTGGTGATTAAACAACTAAAGTGCCTGACATATGTTGGGAACTTGCCACATGCTCCCTTCTTTCCAGCTCAAAATGACAAACCTTCCCTCCATAGGAGGGCAGATGCATTGCCAACCTTTCCCTGATGTCGGTAAGGATCAAGGGCCTATGTCAGTGTCTAACAGGCCAAATTCCAGCTCATTTTCTCAGCTTGTGACTTCATTATTTTTTGTTTTGAGCCACAGTTCACATGGAATTTTTTTTTTCTGTCAACCTTTCCTTTCCTGAAAACTACCAACAAGCCTCCTTGGCCATTTCAACCATGTCATGCATGAATTTGAGGGGACTCTGACAAAAGCAGATGGCATCAGACTCCTGGGATCTAAGGAGGAAGGAGTGGTCCTGACCATCATCTGCCATCTTTCCAGTGTTCTCCTCTTAGGTCTTGTCAACAGGTAAATCTTCACTGGGAAAAGACTGTTAAGATTTGCATTTGCCAGTAGATCAGGAACAATGTAATAGGATGACCTTGAGCTGAAGTATTTGTTTCAAATAACAAGGACTTGATAGAAAAACAACAAGGTTTGATAGAGAAACTCTGAGATAGATATCTCCTGACAGTACCAGCCACTAAGTGGGAAAGCTGGAGTAGCAGTAACAACAACCCACAGAGCCGCCTTACATGAATAACATATAGACTTTAGCGTGGAGGGCTATCTGAGCTTGGAAGGAAGGATGTCTGAGCCTTGAGGGAGGGGTGCCTGACTTTAGCAAGTCACTGGAGGTAGTGGCATGTAACTTGGGAAGCTAAACCACTGCACCACCTACCTTGGTGCTGCTACGTGCAGGGAGTTTAGTGACTTGAGAAGAGTATTAAGTACAATATGGAGGAAGCTGGTCCCTTCTCCAGGGGTGGCATTCGTCATCCAGCTGTATGGGGATATGTTGATGAAAAACTTACACTTTTTGTTTGCACTTCTCTTTCAGGCTTCAACAAAACAGATCATGACAACCCAAGTTCTAGATTATATCAAGCTTCACTTTAGCGAATAACTGTATGAAGTAAATAAGAATCAATCATTCATGACTGAATCATCTTTAGTTAGAAGACATAAAGTTCAGTTTTCCACCACGTAACAGTCAGATAGTCTATGTCTAGCTTCTGCCTGGAATAAGTGATCTGTGTGGGTGAAACTATTCTCACACCCACAGTGGTCAACGTGGAAGAACACAGTGACCACCAAAGGCGTGGGATTGCTCCTCACTGGCAACCAAGCAGTCTGGTTCACAGCAGACAGTAAGGAGGTGGCCTCTAATCAGCACTGATACAGTCCCCCTGGAGACAGCGTAGGATCCCACAGGGTGAGGGCTCGGGCCTCAGGAGTGACGTTCCCCCACCTCAGATATCATTGGCAAACCTGAGGTTGTTTGAGTTGTTTCTGACTGATGGGTTCTAATTTGAGATTCTTACAACCCTCCCCCCTTGGGTACCATTAGTCAGCTTGTGCATCTCATGGGCTACAGGGACTGGTGCAGATCCCACAGCCACCCTCTAGGAACCCCTTCCTTCAGTTGTTGCCTGAACTATTCAGTTCAGTTCAGTCTTTTCAGCTTTTTATGGAGACTCCACTACAGAGATAGACAAGACTAAATCATGAAAGGGCCAAGTAAAGAGGTGGTACAAGCATTGTCTAAAGCCATATAACTAGGCTGTGGCTGGGAGGCATTGCTCAGAGGGAGAATACATGCATATTGTGTATAAGACTTTGGGGCTGACTCCAGGCACCAAAAATCAAGTTGATAAAAGTCAGTGAGTGGAGAGCCAGCAAGGCTTGTCTGCTTGGATTCATCTCTGCCCCTCTCTGTAATGGCATCCCTTCTTCCAGGGTATGATGCTGACCCCTTCTGAAATGGGGGTCTTAAGACCTATAATCACATAGGGTAGTTCCAGGGAATTCTTTTATGGTCGGCTTGAAAAGGGCAGGGGTGGAGGTTGAGAATTTCTGGCCTTGAGAACAGCAAGCCCTCCTATCTGGACCAGTGCTGGGATGGAGGGACGGTACATGGCTGCATGATCTCAATGGTGAATAGCGGGAAGCAACTTCATCTCCTTAGTGTGTGATGGAATTAGGAAACTGATTCTTAAGAAACAAGGGAGGGTTTATTTAAAACTTCTTCAGTTGCAAAAGGGAAGTTGAGGTTGCTTCTTTGTTTTTTGCACTGAGAGTTGATATAGGCCTTGCTTCATCTTTCTACATAAGTCACTGTAGGCTGAAATCAGCCTTCGATGACAACATTTTTGTAGGGTCAGACTGTCAAATATCATGACTCAAGATGGATGTGGGGGGTGCACACCTTTAATCCCAGAACTCTGGCAGCAGGCATAGGTAGATTTTTATGAATTTGAAGCCAGTCTGGTCTATATAGTGAGTTTTAGGCCAGCTAGAGCTGTATGATGAGACCTTATCAAAAAAAAAAAAAAAAAAAATCAACCATCTCCATATCTGGTGGAGGTCAATTTTCCAGGTAGCTCTGACTGGGATGAGAAAACTCAGGGACTTTTTTCTTTTCTCTCTTTTCATTCTAACTGCCCTGATCTAAGTTCTGAGCTTGACTATGATAAGAATAAGTAGGAGCTTCCTGCCAGGGAAAGGTAAGAAAGTCAAAGCTGTCTCTTCCTGTCTTGACTCAGCTGACACATTCTACCCCTATCCTCCTCTGTGACCCAAAGCCAAGAACTTGCTAATGTGTAAAACTTGGGAAATTCTCTAGAATCTTGAGAAAATGAAATTGTGACTGAATCAGGGTTTTTCTGCGCTTTGTAAAAATTAAATCAAAATAAATGGTTGTCCCATGACAATAATTTTCTCTTTACAAAAGGTCAGAGTACAGCTAGGAATTCAAGGCCTAGAGACTGTCAGAATTTGTGACCCAGTAAGAACTTAGGGCCAGGGCTCACACCACTTTAGTGGCTAGCAATAGTTTCTTCTCTCTTTGACTCTCTCTGTCTCCCTGTCTCTCTCTCTCGTAGCTGAACAAATCTTTGCAGAGATTCTTACACCCAGTCTTCATTTATATCTATGAAGTTCTTGTAACTGTCTACTTAAAGATCTTTAGAGATTTGCTGAAGCCAAGTTGAATCAAAAGAGGAGAATGATATGGAGCCAACACAGGAGTACATACATATATACACCAATCCCATGTGGTGAGATGGCCCAGGAGATAAAGGTGCCTGATGACCTGAGCTCCATCCCTTGAGCCTACATGATGGAAGTAGAGCCAACCCCGGCAGGTTTTATACACACATACACACACACACACACACACACACACACACACACACACAGAGAGAGAGAGAGAGAGAGAGAGAGAGAGAGAGAAGGAGGCTCATAAGTAAATAAATACATAAACAAATAAATGGATGCATAACTTTTTTTCTGAGTTAAATGACCTGACAATGCTGCCTTTGCCAGCCACCTTTCTTGGTTGTCTGTTTCATGCTGTTTATACTTATCGACCATTAATAATTATTCCAGGTGACCTGGTCACCTGATGGGAAGCAAGCAGGGCACACAGATCAGTTCTTCAACTAGAAGAAAATCTGGTAACTCTTTCATCATATAGACATTTTAGACACTGAAATAAAGAGAGTATTCCCCATTCCCCATCCCCCACTCCCATCAATTGCCTGAGATAAACGTTAAGAGCAAACCAAAAAAGAACCAAAAAAACAAAAAACCCAGAAAGTAACTTGCTGCTTCCAGGAAGAGGCTGGGATCTGATCATCAAAGAAGACAAACCAAAACAAATGCCTTTTCCAACAGTTTGGCAGGCTGGAAGGTGGCATTCGATCTGAACTGGGGAAATCAGGAAATACTCACAATCATTATAAAGGTGCCCAGGAATTCAGAGACTGTCTCCTTAGCTATGCTGCTCTTCAGGGTCAGCCTCTGTGCGAGCCTCTTCTTGGTGCGTTCCTTCTGAGAAGGCATCTTGGGGTGTCTGTCAGAGGTGTGCTTTCCAACAAGGCCTGCTTGCTCTGTTCCTTGGCCTTCACTGCCACATTAAAACAAAACAGAACAAAACTGAACACTTAGCTCCTCTCGGATTCCTGGAGGTGACTGGGGAGATACCGACTATGCAAAGGCTGTCCCAATTAGAGGCTGTGGCTTAATCCTTGTCTGCTGTCAGTCACTGCCTGGTGCTATTTTTTTTTTTTTTTTTTTTTTTTTTTTTTTGAATTAGTGACCAAATCCTCAAAATGATCCTTTTTGTACCTGATAGATTAATCATTACCTTTATTTTTCTGGCTGCTTTCCCCCCAGGAGATGAGAGAAGAGACGCTGTGTTGGTTGTGTTGCCAAACCACAGAGGTGGGCCTAAGTCCAGAAGAGATTCACACAATTTCAGCCTTCTGATGATTTGTTGTCTCCTATTCGGAAGTGGGCGGGTGGTTTGGGTGTCATTTAGAATTGTTTTTGGGTATGGATACCTTCACTGTGAACACTCTCTGCCGGAGACTTTCATCCAAGCTGGAGGGTGTAAGGGAAAAAGAGGATCGATCATTTCTATCTAGCAGGGTCTCTGGATTTCAGGAAACTATTCTAGAGCTGTCAAGAACTGCTCTAGAGACACGGCGGGGGTGGGGGGCAATTGAAAGGCTTCATGAACAATGTGAGTTTATGGGACAAGATGGGAACACAGAACTGGTCTCCCTTTCTGCTGAGCAGAATTAAGGATTCAAAGAATCAAAAAGACAGCAAAAGCAGCAATACACTCCAGAGGGTTGAAATTCCAGCCCCTTGAGCCAGGAGGGCAGTCAAACTATATGCAATCCCAATTAAAGAAGAAAGGGGTGACTATGGCTCACTAAGGTGGCTAGTTCAAATCTGGTGAATTAACATCCTTGCAGGCAACAGACTACATTTGATAACAGCTTCTTGTCCTGCCCAATAAGCAAGCCCTGATTTCCAAAGCTGGTTTGTCTGAAAAGATGGAGTTCAGCTGTAGTCTCTAAATACCCCCCAGGCAGTCCCACTGATTTAGAATCCACATTGTACTCCCTCCCTCCCACCCACAGAGCAGCCAGCCCGGTTTCATTCCTCTTTGGGGGCCCTCCCCTACCTTTGCAGGAGGCCTCCAGTCTTTTCCAGTTGAGGAGGCAGGCAGGAAGGAGGGAGGAGAGGATATGAGGAGAGCAGCTGGGGAGAGCCCAACTGCAGAACCCAACACCTAAGCTACAGGTTAATTTTACAGTTCAGACTAAAGAGCTCACATTGCAACAAACCCAGGGTAAAACCTAGCATTTTGGCTTTGGCTCCTGATTACAGGATCACGGAGAGGATTGATGAACTCAGAAATTTACTTTAACTCCTGGTTAGATGATCATGGGTAGCATTGTCTTGGAGAGTCTCCTATGACCACATTGTGGGCAAGTCCTGGCGGTTAGACCAGAGGAACAAGACCTTATTGTGTCTGACTTTAGCTAATTAGACAAAGGGTGTTCTGCGGAGTCTTCATTCACTCACCTGACAAATATTTATGGCATACTTGCTGAGTTCCAAGCACAGCCCTTAGCAGAAAAGCACACTGCAGTCCTCCTTGTCGGTCACAGGCCTGGGTATGATGGAGACCGACAGAAGGGAAACAAGCACCCAGGCACAAATAGACGATTGCAGCTAAGACACATGCTCCACAGGCGGGGGCTGTATTCCTATGGGTAGACTCGACAAGGGAAGTTCACCTTGTTGGAGTGATCTCTGTAGTGTCTCCCAGGAAGTCATGTCTGAGCTGAGATCAGGAGGAACAAGGGTTACTCACATGAAATGGGGAAGGAAGTCAATGTGAAATGAAAGGCTTTGAGGGGTGGAGTGGGGGTAATGTGGTGCCTATCGGAGAATGAGAGAAACACCTGCTGTGGTTAGCCTCCAGGGAGAGAATGAAGGAGCAGAGCACAGAACAAGCTGGGGTCAGGGAACCAGACAATATTGAGCCTTGTGAACTGTGTAGATTAGGCAGGCAAATGAGATCATTAGCTCATCCTCCAATGACTGTCCCTGATGAACTACTGGCAACTGATGAGTTCTGTACAAGAGATAGTTATCGCCTTCAGTTGTGTAACAAGTGGTGAGCCATCAGGCTTCAGGGAGTATCTCCAAACATCTTGGCCATACAGACAGTCCTGGTTAAAAATCAGTGAGTCACACATCTTTGATCCTAATACAGAGGGAGGCAGAGGCAGGCAGAGCTAGTTCAAAGCCAGCCCCATCTACAAGAGCAAGTTTCAGAACAGCCAAGACTATACAGGGAAACCTTGTCTTCAAACAACAACAGTAAGTGGGTCCACAAACAAAACAAAACAAAACAAGAATGTGAGAAGGGGTCATACGGGGAGGAGGAAGAAGAATGACAGGGGTTGGAGAGCGAAATAAAGAAGGGCGGGGACAGAGTAAACAGAATGTCCTGCACACACATTAAATTTCAGTGAACATATTTGAACAATTAAAAATGATAATCCTAGCTGTGAGTTGGAGAGGGGATTAAAGGAAGCCTAAAATAGTTATACATAGATCCACATGAGGGTGATACATTATTCTAGATCTGAGGGGCAGCTTTCATAATGAAAAAGTGGAAGCTGTTTAATAGTTCTTTGTATTCTAAAATGGAAAGGATTGGTGGAACATGGAAAATAAAAGGACCCATCAAGGTATTTTGCTGGGTCCATCACTGGCTGGGGAAAGCAGTGCAAAGCCCTTGGAGAGGAGCCCTGGAAACAACTAGAACTGTAGTGAGGACTGTGGATTCTACTTGTGTGAATATGAAGTCGGAAGCAATGTGGGCCCACTTGAAAAGAGTGTGTTCAGGGAGATGACAAATGGAACCATTAGGACTAATCAGGAGAGAGTATGAAGAGCCTAGAATTAGAGATTGAGCAAATGTATTTTGTGCTTAGGTCAAGGTTAGCATCTATTGTTCACTTTCTATCACTGTAACTCATCATCAAATATAACTCCTCACTTCTGTCCACAGCCACCAAGCAAAAAATCCCAAGTACCCTAAGAAAGTAAGCAGCGAACATCACCCTGCCCTTCATCTTGGGAGGGACCTTTGTGGAAATGCCCTGCCCTTCAGTGTTCTAAATGGATATGTGGAACTACCAGTAATTTCAATTCATGCAGTCATCAGTCAATCCATCCATCGAACCATCCATCCATCCATTACTCCCTCCTATCCATCCATGCATCAATCTGTCCACCCATCCATCAATCCATTCATCCATCATACATCCATCCATATATCATCTATCCCATACATTCACATAGCCCATCCATCCATCTATCCACCCCATCTATCCATTCACCTACCCCATCCATCCATCCATGAATGATATCTATTTATAAGTCAATCTATCCAATCCCAGTCATCAATCTATATCCTATCCACCCATCAGTGTTTATCCTATCCATCCATCCTATTCCATCTATCATTAATCTATCCATCATCCCTCCATCCAATCCTCTCATCCATCCAGAAAATCTTTTCACTAAATACTGGCCATGCATCAGATACAGTATTAGGCACTAGAAATTAAAAACCAGATCTCTTCTGCTAAGGATTAATAGTTTAAATTACAAAGTCCTGCAAAGGACTACCCTGCCCAATAAAATAAGAGGTATAGTGAACTAAAATCCCAAAGACAGACACACCTGGGATGTTGCTCCACGCTAGTCAACACCTTGACTGCTGTTAACAGTTCTAACTAAAGTTGCTGGGTGGGCTCCCTGGCCTCAGTGTCATACTGGATGTGCAAGACCAGCCTCTGATGTCATTTAATTCCATCTGAATGTGACCCTCCCTGGCTCCAGTATTCTCTTTGGTGTGCCCAACTGTGCCCATTCAGGAGACCATCAATTATTCACAAACCTGACCCCCTTACCCTGACCTCACTTTTTTACTTCCCCTTACTTGTCCCTATAGCTCCATTTTAGCTCTGCCGGTTCACACTTGGAAACTATGTCGCATCCCAGGACTGTCCCTCTGTCAAAAGCTTTAACACTAAGATTCATTTCCCTGATTGAAATGTCCATTCCTCATTTTTTTTTTATTCATCCGCACTCTTTCTGAATTCTGCCTGGCATCATTCTCACAAAGGCAGCCTCCCTTCCCACAGAGTTCTTACCATGGGCTTGCCTGGCTTCATGATGTACTTACCTGCATCTTGGGTCCCACTGACCTGTTGTCTCTTGTCTACAGCCTCGTTGCTCAAGCCCAGCTACGGGTATGGTTGGCCATGGATTTGTCTCAAGTGTTCTCTCCCCAGACGGCTGGGTGATACTAGGGAAACTTGGATAGTTGGATTGATTGTTCCTGTGGCAGGTAATTATGTCACAGTGTCAGGATTGCTGCTGTGCCCTCAGTTAACCTTTCACGTCCATGGCTCCAGACTTCCTATGAATTATAACCATTCATCTCTTTGGGGATGGACCCTTGATCATCTGGATCCCACCATGCCTCCTCCACAGCAGACACATGCCTCTCCCAGGCCCCTCCAGCTCCCATTGCCAGTTTCCCACCCTCCCAGCATAGCTGACATCTTTCCCTGGGATCCCATAGAAAAATAGATTTCATCAGCTTTAATTTTTTTTCATGTCCCTCCTTCTCAAAAATTGCCCCGGTTTTGTTTCTGTGTCCTCTCCTCTGTCTCCTCTTTGCAGTGAGCCTGATTCTGGCACTCTGCGACCTCCAGGGACTCCAGCCAGTTAACATTCCCCTCGCCTGCTTTCTTTCATAAACGGGCCTTTATCCAAGGGCCCCAAACAAGCCCAAGTTTTTCTTGTGCTGAAAACATTCTTTCAAAATTATTTTACTTGAAAGTACCATTTCATCTGGCTGTTCCACTTTTCTCCCCACTTTTTTTGGGGGAGTAGTGGTGTGAATAAAGTTTTCTGAATATGAAATTGTATTAACTCAGAAAAGTTAGAAACATTTAAAGTAAAATGCCAAAATCTTATAAGCCTTGGCCTCGGACATAACCAGAATTGGAATACATTCCTTTAGGAGTCTCATTAGTAGATATGTATAAGTATTTTTCCTCCTAAAAGTGAGATATTTACTTGATCAAACTGGTTCTTTGCCCTTATAATCGATTCTGTTTCTCTCTATGCCAATGTATAATTCATCTTTCTAACAACTTGCAATATTCTCTTGTACAAATGAGTCATGTTTAAACAAGCTCCTTTTAGCAGAAAGTTGGTTGTTTCTAGTTTCATTAAAACTGAGCCCCGGGCCTCCCAGTTCCATTTGGGACATCACAGAGTAAAATATCAACAGCAAGCCCTTACCAGGCAACTGCAGGGCCTTCCTAAGTGCCCACAGTGCCCCCGTGCAAGGAAATTCAGGAGCTGTTAAC